AGAATAATTAAAACCTACCTGAAAATTTTTTCCCAGTTCAGTTTGCTCGACGACTTAGCCCAGTGTAACGATTGTATCGTTCGACGCTGGTCTTCTATACGCCTCTGAAACAAAGAAAGTACTTTAATTAACATATTTTCTCGCCAAATGCTCATCACTTTGAAAACAACTTGTCAAAATAATCCCCCCGGGAGTTTTTTTTTTTCAAGTTGAAAAGGTCACGTTATTTTTTTATCCAGATTGCATTATGCTTTTGACTTCGACCATTTTTATCGGCTTGTCTTAGGTTTTTTTTCAAGTAAGTATTACACTTGTTCACGATTGGATCTTGAAAGGTATATCAAGCTATTCTGCCGACTAACCAGCATTGTACACTTAATTAGGGCGGCACGCACGCATGCTCCTTCCAGCTCGTTCACACCTCAGCACACTTGCTGATAGCATTTAATTACACTCACGCCTGTTTTTTATTTATTCAGTTCACTTTTGAGGCGTAAATATTTTTGAGCTAAAATGATTGTTCTGATGTAACTCCATTAGAAATCTCCAAGAGGTTGTATCAAACGCGGTTTTAGGATTGCACGATTCATTCCAAGTAATTTCCCGAAACGTGCAAATATGTGGCATCTAGAACCACCTCCCGGGCTACCACGTACAGGGTGCGTGTGTTTACACAGCTGAGTGTTACCAAATTATGGATCAACAGACCGTGAACCTCCAGAACCAGCGGAGCCTGTGGAACTTGTGGAACCTGTGAAACCTGTGAAACCTGTGAAACCTGTAGCACCTGGGAACTTGGGAACCTGTGGAACCTGTGGAACCTGTTGAAGCATTCATTTTTTTGTGAAAAAAAAAAATGCAATTGATTGCTTTAATGACATTTCTTACGCTTGTACCAGTGCTATGAATGTCGCCACAATTGAAGTTGGACATCAAGGACAGTTAAAACATATTTATCTTTTAAAGTGTTCTTCTTCATACCCGAAAACGAACTTTCAGACAGTATTGAGGTCTTTTTAGATTTTATTTTATCGGATTACTATTATTTTACAAAGAAACATGGGTTCCACAGGTTCCGCGGGTTCCACAGGTTCCGCG